GGATGGCTATAAAAAAAAGGGGGAGGATTCGGAGAGATCAGCACTCTCGCGGGTGGCTAGCCAGGGTGTAAAATGGTGCTGCACTCTCTGAAACGGTCCATCTTCTGCCCAAAACGTTAAACACAAGATTACCACACAGTTCCACTCCTGGGAATATGCCAGCTGTAAACACCACTGTAAGCACATATCTGTATAAGGCTTGTTCACGGCCATGGCCAAAGCACGGGATGAACACACCTGCGCCTCAAGTGACGAGTGAATAAACAAAACGCAGTTAATCCATAGAAAGGATTGCTATAGTCACAGAAAGACTGATTCAGCGGCAGAGCAGACAAACCTGAAAGTCATTATGCTAAGTGAACAAGTTCAGACACCGTAGGTAGACCACACGTTATATAGTTCCGTGTATTAAAAATACCTAGAATAGACAAATCCTTAGGCACCGAAGGGAGACTGATTGGTTGCTGCCAGGGGCCAGGGTGGGGAAGGTAATAGGGAGCAAGGGCTAACGGGCACAGGCAATTAGCGAGGTGAGGTGGTGCACACCTGCAATTCCAGCATTAGGGAGGCTGAGGCAGGAGGAGCACTGTGAGCTCAAGACCAGCGTGGGCTACAAAGTGAATTCAAGGCCTGTGTGAGCTATGTAGCAAGACCCTGTCTCAAAAACCAAATATAGATGGATAGATAGAGAGAGAGAGTGATAGACGGATGGGTAATAAAATTCTGCAGTTAGATGGTGTTGGTTGTACAACCTCATGACTGTACTGAAAAACCCCACTGAACTGTACACAGGTACGTGAAGGGTGATGCTATGGTAGTGAATTGTGGATCAACTTCACAAATAACCCAGTGAATGGACAACGTTATCCCAGCTTCACACAGCAAGGACACAGGATTGGCAGGAAGGTTAGGGTCCCAAATGCCAGGCATCGCACCAGCCAGCCATTCACCCCAAGGATGGTGCAGGTCAGTGGGAGTGGAGGGCAGAGGAGCTGCCTCTGGTCTTGGCAGGGCAGAAAGGTCTGGCTGTGGCCAGGTTCCGTGTCCCAGGGAGATGGGGCCATTCAACCCAGGCCTGCCAGAGATCCACGCACTGGGGCTTTGAGTTGTCCAGTAGGCAAACCGGCAAAGCCCCATAAGGCAGCTCTTACACCAAAAGGGCAGGCTTGCCCTGGGGTGCTGGGTGTGGCCACAGGAAGCCTGCAGAGACTGGGCTGTCTCTTCACCTAGATTCCCTCCCAGTTCTGCAGAGAGGAAACTCAGCAGTGGGCCTGGACAGACCGCACTGGCCCGTGTCTGATGTAACCCGGCAGTGCCAGATACGGGAAGCAGCCAGCCAGCGCATTTGCATAGAAGAATTAGTGAGTGCTGGGAACTTGGCAGGAGCTCTGGAAGGGGACTGGGGACGTGCAACTCGGGACTCTGCTGGACGTTGGTCACCCCCAAGTCCCTTCCCCTTGGCTCCCACACCAGGGTTCCTTCTCCAAGCCTTCAACCCTGCAGGCTCTTCTGTCTTTCAAGAAGTGTTCAAAGCCAAGTGTGGAAGTGCTCGCCTGTGACACCAGCTGCTCTGGGAGGCTGAGGCAGGAGGATGGCAGACAAGCCAAGCTTGGGCAACTTAGCGAGACCTGTCTCAAAATAAATTTCAAAAGCACTGGGGATGTGGCTCACGTGAAAGCCCTGCGTTCAATTCTCAGTACAGCAAAATAGCAGCAATGGCGGCAGCAGGAACGATGACACCACTGTATGTGCAAATCCTGGCACTGCCACTTACGAGGCCGTAAATGCCCAGCCCTCTTACACTTTTTTTTAACCTTTCGTGCTGTGTGTCAAGGTCACCAAGGGGCTGGTGGGGATGTCAGGTCCTGCCACCTCTCACACCCTTGAACCCTATGTACAGACCCGAGTCCTCTGCGGGGTCCCCATCCAGAAGTCTGTGACCTGGATGCTGCACCAGGCACCCCAGCGGGCTTTCTGCACCACTGAGGAGAGATCAAAGCTTTCTTTTGTTTCTTTTTTTGAGGCAGGGTCTCTCTGTCTAGATCAAAGCTTCCCTGCCCGGGGGCAGGCGACGGTGCTGACCTCTCTCGAGGAAATGAAGGGTGTGGGGCCGACGTGCACGCCCAAGTCACGTGGGTGGCACTGAATGGCAGCCTTGTCTTCCTGCACCCCAGCCCCAGTTCCCCTTTGTAGTCAAATCGTGTCGCCTCACACACAGGCCCCTGATGCATGGCCAGGCTCAGCACTCAGAGCTCTGAACGCCTTAGCTGGTAGGTGGAGGCCCTGCCGATGTCCCCTCACCCCGGGGGACCGGGGAGGATGAGGTCTGGCTGCCTGGGGGTGGGGCTTGGAGTCCTTCCCCCATGGATGGGTGTTGCCAGAGCAGAAGAGGGGGTCTTTGTGGCTGCCTTATTTTTTTTGCGGGGCGTTGTTTGTTTGCTTGCTCTTCGGTTTTTTTGAGACAGGGTCTTGCTGTGTTTTTCAAGCTGGCCTTGAACTCATTATGTAGCCAGGCTGGCCTTGACCTTATAGCAATCCCCCCGAGTGCGCCATGAGGCCTGGCTTAGGTTTTAGTTTTCACATCTCCTTAACTGGCAAAATCAAGGGTGGCAGCAGTGTGATGTCTTCCAGGACTGGGGACAGTCTGCTGCTCTGTAGTGGCCCCCGTTCTACAGTATGCTCCACTGTTCAGAAAGGGGCAGAGGAGAAAGGGAGCCCTGAGACCCTGAGACATCCAGGAGAGGTCCGACAGGGTGTTGAGCAGCCAAGGGTAGTGGAGATGGAGTAATGCGGATGAGACCCAGGCCGGGGTGCCAGTTTTACCACCAGCCAGGCAGCTATGGACAAAAGCCCCAGCGCCTAAGGGGTCCACCTGCTCCCTGCAGAGTCAAGGCCATGGGCGGAGGCTGCCTGCGGTGGCCCCAGACTAGTTGGGCATGAGGCACCCGGGATCCGCCCGCAGGCCGAGCACAGGGCAGGGAGCAACGACGCAGAGCCCGTGCCATGTTCCATGGGGCAGCAAGAAACGCACGCAGGCGGTGGGCACAGGGAGTGGAGCTGCCTGCCTCTTTGAAGGCTGTGCGCTGAGACCCGAGGCTGCCTTCTCCCTTCTCCTGAGTCTCCATCATGGGGTCACAGCCAGTCGCAAGTCCGGGCTGGTCTCTATCCTCAGGGCAGGGTAGGAGGCGGGAAGCACAGCCCGCCCATGGCTGTGAGCCCCCCTCTGGGCTGGACCGCCTCACGCCCTTCACCCCAGTCCTTGTCACAGGGCTCACAGGCACTGCAGGCTGTGTTGGGGATGGAACGGGCCACACACTGCTTAGCCCAGCAGCTCCTGGGTGAGTCAGGGTTCCGAACGACAAGGCTGTGCTCCGTCACTCACTTCCCTTCTTCCTGGAGACAGACAGGGCCCTGCTGCCCAGAAGGACCTTTCTCCAGCCCAGGGACCCTACCTGGGACCTCGGGTGGACACACCCTTCCTGCCTGCGCCTGGCACCGAGCGGGACGCGGTTAGACCACAGGGCCCAGCCTCCCTCCCAACAGGACAAGAAGTGGGTGCTAAAAAGGAACCCCCGGCCAGCAGCTGCTTCCCTGTTGTTGGGACAAGCAGCACATTCAGCAGCGTCCCATGCCGGACGGGGTGGGGGATCCCCGGGGCAGAGACCCAGGGGGTGAGGGCCCAGCTGGGAGTTGGGGAAGGCGCTAGCTGGGCCCACGTGAGCAGGGCAGCTTTCAGGGTGACGGTGACTTCCTCTGTCCTTGGGGCCCAGAAAGCAATTTCTGGGTGAACTGAAACCTACCCCAGACTCTCAGCTCCCCAAACAGCAGCTTTCTCCGGGCCCCACGTCCTGGGCGCAGTAAGGGATCCTCTGCATGGAGCCTTTCCTGGGGTTCTGAGCTGGGTACCTCCGCCAGTGCCTGAGCTCAGCAAGCTGCCACTAGCACACCCAGCTCCATGGGGGCCTCGGCTCCCTGAGGGCCCCAGAAGCAGCTCCTTGAACCCCAAGGCCCAGGTCCCAGGAGCCACTGCCAGACTCCCCAGCAAGTGTGGCCGCGACTGTAAATTGGGTCACTGCATCCCATGACATCAGGACCCCCATCCCAGCCCCTCGCTGCCCCCCCACATGGGCCCTCAATGGCCACTGGGCCAGGCACCTGGGCCCCAGAGGATGCGGGTACTCACAGCACACAGAGCGCGTACGCCCGGGTGATAGACTCGCTAGCGCGCACCAGGAAGCTCCCGTCCCTGCCGGCCCTGGACAGCAGCTCCTCTGCCTTGGAGCGGGTGATGTTGCCGTGGTTCCAGCAGGGGCCCATGGTGGGAGAGGGTCTCCTGCACCGGGACCTGCCGCCTGTCCCCTCCGGTCACCTCTGCTGCTAACACCAGCTTCGCTGACTGCCTGACTTCCTGTTTCAGGCGCTCAGTGAGGGAAAGGAAACTGCACTGCAGAGAACTTCCTCATTACAGAAACCAAGAGAGAACAGAGGCCCGGCATCCACCTTCCCACCAGCTGACCACTGGGTGCTGGCCCCTCCCTCTGCCTCTCT